AGTTGAAAGCAATTTAATTTTGGCAAAATGGCTGCTTTCATTGTATACAGGACACTGAACCTCTTGTGTAGGACCTTTTCACCATGTTGTGATTGATTTTACATCTATTGAAAACAAGTCTGGTCTCTGCCATTTGTTTACCCTTGTATTCTCTCTTTATGCTTTGGTATGCATTTTTAATTAGATACACTCCAGTTCTTTCACCACTAGCTAACACTTTTATTTGGGAAGCAGTCTTTACTAGCCCTGCAAATATCCACTGTTCTTTGCAATGTCAAGTCCTTTTCTCACCTTGCTTTGACTTGGTTATCACTTATATCACAAGTAATTCATCCATCTGTTAACTGCTCCAATTCACATTACTTGGCTTTATTTTAAAGATCTTAACAATGGTCAATGGTCTCATCTGGCAGCTGGTTTCTTGTAAAAAATGTGCCTTTCCCAAGTGACATTCTTGCGAGGATCAAAATATTCACTGAATGGGTTTTTATCTAGCAGTTTACAGGTCCCTCAGGCTCTCCATAGAACATATTGTATATACCCAGTGCTTTGGGCATAGCAATGTGGAGGACTTCACCTTCTTCAATTTTATTTCACTCTTCTCCAGCTTTCTGCTGTGTTATCTTTACACATTTTTGGTTAATTCTAGTAAAAAAATATTATATGTATCATGCATTTACTTGATTGTCTAAGTTGTCATCCAGAGTGTGCCTTTAAAGCAAAACTCAAAGCAGCAAACCAAAGTTTGGGAGTGCCGGAAGTAGATGATCTCATTGAAAAATGGCAGAGCAGAAACAAGTTTCACGCAATTTGGTTGTAAATGGGCATTCATCCATGGGACAGAAGTAGAGCTATCCAAAGCAGAAAATACTAACAGAAATGTATCATGCCAATTTAGCCCCACACATTTACTCCTTCTAGTCTACACTACTCCATAACACAGATATAATCACAGAAATAATTGAAATTATATTTCTTGGTTGGCTCTCACTACCTGAAATTGGTGAAAAGCATTGTACCAATTGTGCAGGACTTGTATAAAAGTAATGTTTCAGTTATTTCAATTAGAAAGGTCTTAACTACTAAAGGAAGTATAAAATTAATTTTTATTGTGTCACAAATAAGGGAAAAATCTCCCACTGAATAAAGGGGAGGAAAAAAAAAGTAGTAGTATTATTCCATCCCACAGCAATCCAGAAAAAACCCACAGTATGTCCACTTTACATACCACCTTTCTCTTAATTTACAGTTTTCAATTTACAGTCTTCTACACAGTTATTTAAATAAACTGTCTCTCACAGAGTAGCACCTTTGCAATTGCCAGGGACACAAACCCACTTCTCTGTTTCCTCATAAAAATTTTCCATAGACACCCCCAACACAAGCATTTCCAGCAAGACTGATTTTTTTCTTGGCCTTATCTTCTCCAGATGGTTTGTAGATAGCTCTCACAACTCAGCCATCACTTTAAATAGACTTAAAAGGACAAAAGTCCAGTTTCCTTCAGGACTGCATGTGGAACTTGTGGCTGGTAAAATTTCCAATATAAACAAGATCTTTTGGCACAAACTGGAGGGGGGCTCAGGCTGTTTATGGTTCGCAGTAAGGAATGTTTGCTTTCTTAATATCCTCTTCTTTCTTAACTGGGATAGATTATATCCAAATACATTGTTACCATTCTTCTCACTCAAACTGACTTTATACTTGTCATACTTTAATGGGCAGGTCTGTGCTCTGAAAGAGATGCAAATAGTTTTGTTTGCAGGTTTTCAATAATCATATGTTTCATGATTAATGAAGCCTCTTTTGAGCTTCTAACAGCCTTCTGCAGCTGATTGTAGAATTGTTGAGGAGTCTAAAAAAAGTAATATCACTCATATACTATCTTTAACTAATCCTGTAAAATTTTATTCATTGTTTGTGACAAGAGTTGCTATTACTCTGCATGCAGCAAGGAGTTGATCAAGCATTGTACAAGCTGTTGAGGATGTCACAGAGGTCACCATCAGGACTTCTAATGGAGTGAGTGCTTGCCAAGGATAAGAGAAGAAACCATTTCCCCATTTACAGGTTTGCCAAGACAGAGTTCCAGTCCATTCCCAGGGTGAAAGGCTGCAGTTTAAAACACTACTATTCCTTCATTACTTTTTCAGTGTATGACTACCAGATATAATTCTAAATCAATCAATCAATCAATCAATAAAATAGTGTAATTCTGACTCGATTACCCTCTCACAAAGATGATGTCAGCTCTTATACTCCTTGATGTATAGCCATTTCCCATGCTCTGTTCTACATATTTAACCATAAAAACAAAAATATCCATAACTCCAGTGTTTTATTCAACCCACAGTGCATCAGGTATTCTAACACCAGGCTTTCTGAAACTATATCTTATGTTGGGTTTGCTTGGGGTTTTTGGTGTTGATAATTTTGGGGTTTTTTAACCAAATATTATAACTCAGTCCTGGAGAATTCCTCCTGTCCTAGCACAAACAGCACTCTCTACATAAATGATTTGCCAGAAAATTGTATCCAATCTCTCAGTGCATTCTTCACGTTCTACATGCCATTCTTAAATTTTGCCACTTAGCCATGTAAAATCAAATTAGTTAATTACGGCGCCTCAGCAATATTGCTGCTTTAATCAAATCACAAACAGATTCAAAGGGAAAATATACCAGGAATTAGGAAAAAAATTATGTGATCTCTAGCAAGTCTGATCTCTGTTGACCACTTCACTACAAACCAGGAAAAATGTAAGGGTCCAATCAAAGCTAGTTTTTACCATTTACAAAAGCCATCCAAGTAATAAAAATGGGAACAAACCTTGAATATTTTCTTGTACTGCATTACTGCAAATCAATAAATAAAATCTTCTCTAGATTAGCACTGGTTAGACCAAAACAATGAGAGATTCATGTGAGAGAGTGCCCTTCAGATTAAATGACAATTTGGAAGTGTTTAACAACATATGGTCTCTTTTCTTTGACATATACGATTAAGAATATATCTTTTTATATAAAAATATAAAATACCATCTGTCATAAGTTCCAACCATGATACTTCTTCTATATATCCAATTAATTCACTATACTTTCCAGTGTAAATATTTCTCCTATTTTCTCATTTTTTTCTTTTTCTGTAACTATATTTATTTATAAAATTTCAATAAATGTATATATTTAAAAAGTCAATACTATGACTTGAAATGTAATTAGGAATAACAATGAAAGTCTGTTTCACTTTTTATTTCAAAGAAGGGCCAAATCTTCAAATGGATTGAAATGCCATTGCTCATTTAAGTCAGTGAGTATAGGCATATTATAAAGATTTAACTATGTTGCTTTTCCTTATTATACACATTAACCCAGAGAAATGTTCACTTTTCACAAATAAATATTTGTGTTTCTTTCTTTTTTCAGAAATGCAGGGTACCTTAAAGACACATGACTGCAGAGTGAGAACCCAAACATCATGGGTGTTTCTCAAGGTGTCAGAATTCCAGTGAACATGGAGGAATAAACGGATTGCTCTCAAAATCATGGCAAAACCCAGGAAAATACATAACGCATTTCAATTCACTGAACTGATATTTTGCCTCATTAATTTAATCCAAAAGAAAAATCTTTGACCACATAGTTATTATAATGACTTCTGACATGCACAAGCCTCAAAATATAGTCTCAAGAATATAGGAGCTAAGTTTTGCCAGGTTAAAACAGGAAGGACCATAACAGCCTGTTTGCAGCAGGGTGCAAGATTTCTTCTGTTTGAGACAAGCATACCCAGATAAACATATACATACAGACAGATACACATAGGCTTTACTCTTTGTTTCTAAGTAATTTGGCTGTGGGTGTACCAATAAATTACACTAATAGGTTTTGCATTAGTAATGTGAGAAAGAAATTACTGACCCACAATTTAAAACACATTTTAAACCTTTAGCTTTTAAAGAATCTTTTGGAAATTTTGACTCTTGAGATTCCCTCAGCCTAGCCCGCAAACAAAATGGAAGAGAAAATTATTTTGCTTTTCAAAAACATTGCCTCTCTTAAAAAGCAGAATATCATATAGTGGTAATTCCCTTTCTCGTGATTAATTTTATACTTTATGATATAACAAACTAAGATTTCTGTGTCTGCTGCAGTGTTGTGGAAGTGGTGACTATAGCTGTATGAGGTTATTCCCATGTAATTTACAACTTAGTACCTTTTCACCTGCTTCCATGTAGTTGGTCTGTGAGCAGAAAATGCTGATCATCTTCTCATATTACATTCTTGGTCTTTAAAGGAGCTTTCAAATAAACCATGGTGCTCTTGATCATTCATGGTAGAAACTCTGTATAGAATCCTAATAAACTGCTTGTATAGGTTCTTAAGTTGTCCCAATACTTTCTAAAATACTTGCAGTATTTCAGTAACTATGTTAAATAAATTATTGTGTTAGCCATAATAAGTTCATAAGGGGTACTGACATCCCTAACTTTCTCATGTGCTGTCCAGTAATGTACTCCTTTGGCCTTGTGTTTTCCTCTTTTAATTTACAACAGAGTTTGTGCTTCAGGGTTAACATAAGGGTTAACAGAAATTCCAAATTGCTTCTCTGTTTGCACCAGAAAAGTTAGCATCATTCATCAGCATGCATGCTTTTATGTTATTATGTCCCTATTATTTTTGTTTGGCCACAATGCCTATGTTTTTCCATTTCTGTTTGTTCTGGTTTTACACATATGGTCACTCATATTTCTTTTCTCTAAATCCCCGCATTTTCTGTAATACTGTTTTAGAGACGAATGCATGTTCCTATTACGGCAATCATTCTTGTGTTGATTTGATGACTCAGTTCCTCTGCCATGCTATCGTGTCGTTGTTTCAGCACTGATACCATCCGGTATAAAGGGACAGAGCTAAGCCACAGCACTTCACAGCAGAGCCCTTTGCGGCGCTCCATCTCGGCCCGCTCCTCCCGGAGGCCGCGCCCCTCGGAGGCCTCCGCTGCCCGAAGCTCCTCCCCGCCGGCCGCGGGGCCGGAAGCCGCCGCTGTGTGCCCTGTGAACCGGGAAGGGCTCGGTTTGAATGAGATCCGGCTGATTCACCGCGGCCCGGGCGGCTCCGGCCCAGGTGAGGGCCCGGCCGCCGCCGCGCCAGGCTGCTGAGGCGCTGCGCGGCCTGTGCGCGGCCGCGGCCGGGGAGTCGGCCCGAGCGCCGGGCAGGGCGGGGCGGCCGGAGCGGGACGGGGCGGGTCTGCCGAGCGGCACCGGCCCGGGCGGGGAGCGCCCTGGGCCCCTGGCCTTTCCGCTGGGAAGTCCGGGCGCTTCGGGACTCCGGGGGTCAGCTGCGAACGGGCCGGGGAGAGGCGGCGAGAGGGGCCGAGGAGGGCGCGGGGCGGGGGCCCCCCCGCTGGAGCCGGACGGGTCTCGGCGCCGCACGGGCCCCAGGGCCCGGCCGCCTCCGCCCGGCCCGCAGCGGCCGCCCTCTCTGGGCAGCGCCGGGCCGGGTTCGTGCTGCGGGCAGCGGCGTCTCTGTGCCCCGTCAGGGGCGCCTCACGGACGGCAGCGCTGCTGCTCCCCCCGGACTGCGGCATTGCCGCCATCCCCGGCGGTGCAGCCAAGTTAGAGGGGCACGGGGAGAAGTGAAGGCAAAACACTGGCTGGGATACCTTTAGGGGAAGGACGCAGAATTAAGTAGAAAAGGAGAGATAATAAAAAAATCAATAGCGCTATTTCTAGTATGCACCCGACTTAAGTAATATTTCTGTAACAAATTTGTGTTGGATACTTGTAAGCAGCGTGCTGGCGTCATGTCTTAAAGTTGTAGTTGTTTTCAGTATACTGTGGAAAAACAGAAAACCAACAGGGGCTGAGATTTGCTTTTTAAATAGAAGTTTTATGTAAATATATCTCAAAGCTATATAGAACTGAAATGGTACTAGGCAAGATGAAAAGTCTGACAGATTTGTGTTCATGTTAAAGCTGTCAGCCCTGGGAGTCCAAGATGTCCTGTATGCCTCAGGTAGGGAGTAAACTTGGAAGAAGATTCTGTGGAGCAGAGCATTCACAGAATTCACAGCATTCGTGACCATATTGAAACAGTGAAAAATATCTGTTTGTGAAGAAATTCAGAAATTGGCTAGCATATGAATTGCTTCTGAATCACTTAGCATGACTTTGAGCAACAGGGTTTAGCCTGTAGGTTAATGGGAAATGTTGTGTTCCATCATCTGTTGTAACATGCCATTTCAGTGATATTAATTAGAAAACTATGAGTTAGAACATTATAAGTTAGATAATACTTTAAAAATAGTATTAAGTAATACCAATATATAAATTAGTTTGCCAACTTTCTTGGAAGTGACTCACTCCTGTCAAAAATTATGGAGCATGAGCTAATGGTACATATAGGTACCTTGTAACATCTAGGTTGATGGGAAGGGGCGGGTGTTAAGGACCCTTTGCATAATAGAGAACTGGTGTGATTAGTACTCGCTGGACTACTGCATAGTTCCACAATAGTTGTGTGTCTGCTTGCCTTTCTGCAGATTTCAGAGCCGGCCATTACTTCATGTACTACATAAAATTAAAATTAATTCTGTTGGTTTCTATGGTGGTGCAGCTTGATAATGAATCTTTGCTTATCTGTAAGTGTTATGTGAATGTACTTCAGTAGCTTTAAAGTAGTCTGTTTGAATCTGTGTTAATGAAGTAACTCCAGCTCAGCAATGAATGTGGTAGAATTAGATTTGCTGTACTTCTGGAAGTCAGAAATCAGAGTCTGGGAAGCTGACCTGCAAACCACCTAGTCCAGCTCGGGTCTATTGAGATTCAGGTCTACGTGATCCAGAAAAAGGGTCTGGGTTTACAGATCTGAGCATGTTATGGAAGCAAGAGTGATGTAACTCTGGACTTGCACTACTGAGACTGCATTCATGCATGACATGACTAAACTCTAGCTTTAATGAACAGATTACTTAGAATTGATGGTAATATATATATTTTCTTTTCATACAAAATGTATAGGAAGATAGACTAGCCAACCCCCTCCCCCACCTTTTCACATGTGAAGTCTGTGTTCAGGTTTGATGACTTTAACTGCAGTGAGTTTTTTTCTTGGCGAAATAATGCTTTTCTGCAATTTCTGAGCTGATTTACCTCTTTAGCTATTTATCATCCCTAGTGAAGCCAAAATGGTTGCACTTCCACCAAAAACCTTAAGCCACTTTTGAGCACTGTTAATAAAATTGTTGATCATCTGCTGCATGTAACTCCTCTACAGGAGATGTAGAAGTGCTTGTACAAAGCTTGTTATGTAGTCTCAGGTGGAGAAACTGGGTTACCAAAGATGAAATTATTTGCATCAAATCCCTCAGTGTACAAATTGAAAATAAATTGCTTTCACCTTTGTGTAGCCTGATACTCCCTCCACTAATAGGGCAGTTTAGTAGCCATTGTTTTCTATGTATGTCAAAACTGATTTTGAAATTTATTTCTCTACTAACTCAAAAGTTGCCAAACCAGGAGAACTCTCTTTCATTGAGGGATCACATCATGGAGTGTTAATGCTAGATAAAAATAGTGCACTGTAGTGTGAAACTCATGTGTCTCATGGAAGGACATAGAGTAATTTAAGACTGTTTCAAGTTGATTTCAAAATACATGCTGCAACATGCCAAGTATAAACACAGTAGCTATTGGTTTATACCTATATGTGTATACACATTGGTGCATAATCCTTTTATATAACATCATCCCTCTACTACCTAAGAAAAAATGTTTTCATTATTAAAAGTCAGAATTTAAATGACTTGAAAATACCAATGAACGACTGAGTGGTGAACCAGAGCTCTCCAAATGGGCAAGTCTTTCCAATTATTGCAGTTACCTAACAGTAGTATTAGAAGCAAATATTAGGCATGGGTTTTAAAATTTATGTTTTCAGATCAGTTTTGAGATTCTCGGTGTATACTCTCATTGCATTATTACTATCAACTACTTTTCCCTTTTGAGGTGAGAACAATTAAATTAAAATTGCAGTAATGGAAGTTTGGATTTTTAAATAACATCCTATGACCGAACTTATTTTAGTTATGGTGTTTCCAATCATGAACATACATACACAGAGAAGCTATTTAATTCTTTTTTTTAAGCTATTAATGACCATATTGATTTCAGTGATGACTGCATGTCATCCAAATCCTGCAATGCACCAAAATGCAAGTTTATTATGATAACTGTCCTTCTGTATTTTTTCTGATACAGAACTATTTGATACATTTACTTCCTTAAAGTTATGCTTTAAACAGAGACTGTTAACTCTTCCTTGCAGACAGAAGGAAGCAATCAAAATAACTTTTGCCAACTTTGGAAGGAAAAGAGGTGAGATTTACAGTGAACTGTTAGTTTACTTTTCTGGCTTTTATTTATATGTATATATAATGTAAATGTATGTGTGTGTGTGTGCAAATATAGGGAAAAAACCAACAGAGAAGTTGCTAATCAGCCCAGCTTTTTGCATTTTGTAGCAGAGGTAATATTTTCAGCTGTAGGTTACCTTTTGTGCCTCACTGGGGAACAGACCAAGCTCACAGAGATTTGTTTCATTGTAGTAAGTGGGGAAGGGAATGCAAGACCACTGGGTGGTCAGGTGGCTAAAGGTGAATAAGTCAAGCCCAGCTGAAGAAGTAGCTGCAATTCTGTTATAGCCTGTGCTAGTGGCTTTTGTGGTCTCTCCTGGATAATTTCTTTCTGCAAAGCTGGCAGAAGCATAGTAACTTTCCATTCAACTTGTTAGTGATTTCCACCCCAGCCTGTCTGCACTGAGAAACTCTGACTTGTTCTTTCTCTTCCAGCTTTCTGGGAAGGTGAACACCTCTTCCTTTGCTCTTGTATTACTTTGAGATAAGCTTCAAAAGGGTCTCTGTTAAATTGCCTCAGTTACTAAAAAACAAAACAAACCCCTTCCCCCCGCAAACAAAAACGCAAAACCAACCCCCAAAACCCACAGACATTCTTTGAGCAGCTTTAGCTTAAAGAATGATTTGACAGAAATGTCTTCTGGAGCCTGTATTAGTGTTACAAGCAATCAGCTTTTCCAAGACCTCTTTTTCTGTTATGCCAAGACAACTATTTCTGGGATGCAGTGTGAAGCCTCTCATAGAAGTGAACAGGGTTACACCCAGTGTTTTTGATAGCCTCTCAGTTTGCTGCAGGGCTGCACAAATGGCTGTCCTGGCAGTACTGAGAAAGCAGCATCAAGTTGGTGAGCAGCAGCAGCTTCCTCATTGCTCCTTATGTTAACACTGACATTGAAAAAAAGTCTATCAAATCACAGCCACAGATCATTTCACAGATCTGTTTCAAAACACTGCTCTACGAATGATTGAGTGGATGCAATTAATGGGCAGTGTTCTCAGAGAGGAGGATAACATGAATTTTAACTCCTAAATTGAACGTGAAGCAGCCTTTCTCTACCTGAATTCAGGCAAACATAAAGATCTTTGTAACTTTTCTGGTCACACCAACCGCTCTTGCAGAAATAAACAGGAAAGCTTTCTGTTTCTGCAGACTGCTCTTGCCCTTGGTGCTTTGGGTATCTTAGCTACATCAAGAGCTTCTAAAATAGTAAAAAAAAAGACTACGGTTTCAGTTTCTAACAGCATTTAAAATGATAAATTAGCTTTAAATTACTTGAATGAATTATTAAAATATTTTAAGAATTTAATATTAAAAAATATTGTGAAAATTGGAAGCTTCTTGCAGTATTATGGATACTTGAGCAAGACATGGCATGTACCACTCCAAGGAATTGTATGGTAAAGGGTGAAAAAAAGCCCAGTAAACATTCTTTGGGTTATTCTTCAATAGTGCCTTGTCCTTTTGCAGCTCATCAATGTAACATTTCTTTTTTATATGTGCCATGGTTTCTAAATTTTACTGGGTTTCTGCCTTTCTCCTTGTTATTTCCTTCTACAGGAAAGAGACCTACTGGTGTCATCTTTACAGTCAAAAAGTGGAAGCTGCTGCCAAGTTTGTTCTGTGAGCACCTCTTGCTGAGCACCAGGTTAGAAATGTATCATTGCTTTATTTGTAAAGGTTAAAATTAGCTTCATTAATGTCTAAAAATCTCCCTATTTTAACCTGTTTTAAGGTTTACAAAAGCATTGTTTGAGAAATAGAATTTATTACTGAAATAATATTTAGATGGATTAACAAAAATTAAAATCTGTTTTGGTGAATGTATTTCATAAACTTAAATTTTTCAGATGTTTATATATTTCAGTAAACAAGCATGTTTAGGTCCATATAGACTATAACCTACTAAAGCATATTCAGTTACAAATAGGCAAGTAAAGCATTAGCTGCCAAAACTGTAACCAGAAACATGTCATGGAGCTAGTGAAATAATTTGCAGTGCATCTAGAACTGTGTTTTGGAGATTTTTCTGTCTGTGCTGCTCTCTTGAAAGTCTGAATATCTCAGTTCAATGACTATTCTGTGAGAAATATTAGGTGTCTGTAATACAGTGAGATTTTGCTGTAAAGTTATGCTGATAAGTAGTCAGTTTGTTTAACACTTTAGTGTAATCCAACTCTGATATGCCAAAATATATGGCTTTTATAAATGATCTACTATACTGTTGGGTTAGAAACTGGAATGAACTGTGCAAATAAAAAAATAATTAATACGAGCTATTGCTTTTCACTTGTGTTATAGGATTTGTTATTTATTTATTATTTCTTAAATGTACATAGGTAATGTACCGCATCACTTTATGGAAGTTGCAGTAGTTGACAGAACTGCCAGTTATCAGGGTTATCAGAAACTAAAAGTTTCTTAAAATAAACGAACAACCATTATGGATTAAAATAATAGTTTTAGTAGCTTAAATATACTTCTCAGTTACTCTTCAGCCCTCTTTAGTGTCACAGAAGATGAATCATTGTTGGTTTCAATGGAGGAGTACCTACCACAGAGGGGTAACATGAGCTGTAGTTGGCGTTAATTTGTGGTAACATTGTGACTGTTTTATTGAAGCCATTTAACATATGCTTACGTAATATCTTTAAACAGCAACTTAACCTTTCCAAGGAAATCCTCCAACTTGATTTGAAATTTATTGTAGTTCAAGATAGAAAAGCATGTACACTGTATGCAGCTTTTGCCTCTAAAAAAGAAGCTTGGTGTCAATGACTTACTGAAGAAATGAAGCATAACCCCTAAACCTTTAATAAACTAATTTTTAATTTATGTTGTGCCAGTGGAGCTTTAAGAAAGTACTTACTGCTAGGTGAGGCTGCACTTGTTGGATTTGCATGTTCTACAGAATCAAGAGGGTAAATTATATTGAACTTATAGCCTGATAGTTCACTGAACTGGGAAAGTGAACTTAGCAAGTAGGACAGGTATTCCTGATCAATATATCTTGGCTATTGTTATGACGTTATTAAGGTATGAAGTAAAATGCTGCTTCTTTATGTGTTTAGAAGTTTAAACTATTTGTTTTAACCTTAGACTGAAATAAGGCTTTTTAGTCATTAGCCAGTAAAAAAATCTAGCAAATACCAGAAGAAATTATGAAAATGATGGTGACATTCACCTTCAGCATGAAGATTTTTTCATATACAAATCAAATATATTTTTCAATTTTTCACATAATTATTTCAAAAGAAGGCTATTAAATTAGTATTGTTAATGTAATCTGAGATCATGTATATAATTCTCTTATGTGTAATGTGACATCTGCTTGGAGGATGAATGTATTTTGGAAATCATACTTGGTGTTCTCAATTGCTTTCAAAGCCTAAACAGGCTTTGTTGGGTTGTATTAAACTTGTCCAATTAAGACCATAATTTTTGATGCTGTGCTTTGTATCTTCTCTTTCACAAACAAAATAAGCCAGTAAAATTTTCTGATTTCTGTAAGCCTTGGAAATTGCTTGATTTGATGAAAACAGCTGTTTAAAATTTAATATTCAGGCTTTTTTTTTTCCCCATTTTATCCATAAGTTTAGTTGTATAGAGCTAAGTTGAAAAAGCCAAGTAAGCATGGTAAAGTTCTGTTAAAGCTGGGGCAGAACCTGTATCTGGGTATCCACCATGAAATTGTAGATGTCTTTCCAACAACAGAAAGTGAAGAAACTGTAGAGAAAAAACAGCAGTGTAATTTTTTTGGTTGGATGCCTTAGCAGCCTTTTTTCCTGGGGATCACCCCTTCAAAGTTACAAGACACAAAAACTGATGCCTTTTTTTTTTTTTTAAAGGAAGACATTTCATTGATTGGAATAATCTTGTGCTAAAGCAATGGCACATGCAAGAATGTATTAAATGACTGTACTGTCACTAGTCTTCTAACTATATACACATTAAATGTTTACTTTACAGTATTTCTTTTGGTATAATGAGTTCATTAAAAAAAAGCTTTTGATGCTAATTCAGAGATCCATAATCTGCTTAGTGTCTTTCACATGTAGTTTTGATGATAACTGACAAGCTGTAAGTTAATTAGCACGGAACTTACTAATGAGGATGCTAAAATCCTTACTTTATGATTTTTATTGATGATTTCTGAGCAAACGAAAGTAAATTCAATTGTATATCTAATAAGTTTTAGGAACTTTCTGGCTGTAGGTACTTATCATAAGCAAAAAAAATCCCCCAATTATTTGAATGATGGGAAAGTTTTGAGAAGTTTGACAAGAGTGTTTGTCTTCAGAAATGGGGATAACCCAAAACCAAAGCAATAAAGCAAAGTCTGTTAATTAGCATGGAAGACAGCTTCTTGAATTAATATGTGGTGTTAATTAACAGGAAGTCTGATGTTGTGTTGTAATTACCACCAATATTTTTGACATACTGAGTGACTGAAGGTGAATTATATAGATAACAATTTAGTAAACATTTCAAGCTTGGGAACATTTTTCCTTTGTTTCTGTTTTTCTAGAAATATGGATAGACTTCTGCGACTGGGAGGAGGTATGCCTGGGCTGGGACAGGTTAGTATATAGCTTATCAATCTTTCCTTTAAAATTAATAAATTCTGGAGTACTTCTTCTATTATACTATTATATTTCAAAACAGCATCAAAAAACAGAGTTCATAGTAATAATCTTTGACTCAAGAGATTTTATATGTGTATGCATATCTTTGTTAAAACCTGACTTTTTTTTTTTGTAAATATGAATACATGTGTTGGCACTAAGTTTACAGAATGTTTATAAACCCTTCTTTTTGTGTCTGAGCATTTTAAAATTTGTATTGAAAAGTATTGGAATCACATAATTAAAAAAAACAGTTTACAATAATAAGGAATTTCAGAACATGAAGGATAGTCTAAATGGGCAAGCATATCCACTGCTCTTTCATAAATTACATATTTCAGTTCTTGGATCAGATTGTGAATGGGGCATTATAAGATACTGAACTATATGTAAATTCCAAGAGGTAATTTGAATTGAGTTTATCAGTTGTGGGTAGTTGTAGCTACCTGTATGTGTCTTTTATTGTGTCTCTTGTTGATTGTTCTCACTTCTGTAACTACTCACAGCAAGAATGCCTCCCTGGCAGCTGTCCTGTTCCAGTGAGAGATCTATTCACCTAGTATAGCTTCTCCTACCTCTACAGCAAGTCCTAGTGCTTTTTACCTTGATCAGTTGACATGGCCAGCAGTCTTCAAAAATAAAATCAAGCTGATCTTGTTACATTGTGCCGATTACTTTGTATACAGGGGAAAAAATAATTAGAAACTTCTTTGTTTGAGGTCTGTAGGAAGACTTATTTCCTTAAGGAATGTGGTCCAGTGTAATTTCCTTTGTAGTCCTTTCCTTTGGTTGGCTGAAGTAGCTGGCCTTTCTCTTTCATCATCTGCCTCCTGGTCTCTTTCTAAGTCGAGAATCCAGACTCTTGTTCTGGAGGAATCGGTTCTGTATGTCTTGGGCTTCAGGATGTGTGGCCAGGGTTTCTTCTGGGATGGTTGAAATTGCTAAACCCCAAACTTCTTTTGGTTCTGAATAGTGTGTTTGTGTCCAGTATAACTACAGGAGTAGTTTAATACTGAAGCATTTGGTGAAATATTCTAGGCTGATCTGCAGACTCTAGATGTTTTGCCAAATAAGCTGTAACTTTTGGTGCATAATTTTTTCCCCCTTTTTATAGCTAAAATTCTATTCACGTTCTCTTAGTGAATCTTCAAGCCGCCCTCAGTTATTTTTAGTTTCACTTTCTTAAACAGTTATTTCTCTTGTTCCTCTGAGCTGCCAGCCTGCTTCATGACTCTTCATTTTTTTAACATCTGTGCAGTCTAATCTCTCAAGCTTTCACTTCTTAGTCCTCTCTGAACTTGACGCTTATCAAAGCTGTTTTTCAAATTTACAGTTAACTCTCTGCTGTTTTCTAAATTTTTCATCTTTAACTTGAAGCTTGCTAGAAGATTGTGGCAGACAATAGAACATAGCATTCAGAGGAAGCTTGCTGAACTCCTCTGGTACCTTTGGCCTGCAAAGCTGCTCTGTGTTTGTTTAAATATGGAATTGTCTCTTAAATAAATTGATGAGTATATGTTGGATTAAAAAAACGGCATAAAGCTGAATTGCTCTTTACTCAAGTTGCTGCTTGCACTGGATATCTTGACTACATTTATAGTCTTTTGGTTTATTGAATCAGCAGGAAGGCTTTTCAAATAAAATATTTTTATGTCCTTAAAATAGTGTGTTTCAAAGGACCTTGAAAGGTCACTTATATTCTGAATATCAATTAATGATAATTGAGATTGAGAGATAATCCAGAGTGAATCAGATGTCTTTGAGATAGAAGAGAGAAGGAAGATATTTCTTGGATATATTTTGTCATGCTAGAAAGCAAAATTATTACAAATTGTTTGCACTAGACTTGTTTAAGCAACAGAAGCTTTTTGTTCTTATTGCTGTGTTACAGCTGTTCTAAATGTTGAACATAGTGAAAACATCTGACTGAGCCATTCTTGCCAACATAAGAATCATCTGTATATATAGTCTGGTAGCAAAAGAGGCATTTTCAAAGTAATTTTATCACATAGTTTGGAGATTGCTTTTTCTTGTAGCCTGGGGTCTGCTTAGCAAGAGGACTGCATCACATAACGTTTGCTAAGAGTCTGTTTGATTTGCTTTGTAACTGATGTTAAAGTAGTGGCAGATGCTTGGTCAGCACAGTTCCTGTTTGATCTCTGCCAAGGCATTTTTTCTCAGTGACCTGCTTTAGCTTCTTCAGCAGCAGTCACTTGGCTCTTTCCCCTTGGCAAAATTACCTGTTCTGGTTATTGTCTCATTTAGGTTTCCTTGGTTTTCTTAATTTCCAAACTCAGATATGTTGTCCCAAATGCACTTTAAATTAATGTTTGCAATATGCTTTTCAAGTCTTTTGGTGTAGTGTATTACACTTGAGATCTGCTGTCACTGAATTTGTGGGTTCCCTTTCCTTACTTCTTGTTCCTTCAGGATGCTATTGAGTGACTGATTTGCCTTCAGGTGTCCAGAGGTGGTCAGTGCTAAATCCCATCTACCTTAAGCCTGTCTTCAAATGGCTAATAAATCTTTAAGGAAGTAATCTTAAAGTGATACTTCAACAATAAACTTTCCTTCCAGTAGCATGTGGATTAGAAATCTTAAAGCATTTCTTCTCTTTTAATCATAGGTGGACAAAGGGCTGTCTTAGTAGGGCAGGAGGGGGACAAAAGAGGAGAAGGGAAGAGAATCTTGCAACTTTTGGCATCACATAAGCCATTCACGGTGTTTTCTGACAATACACGTGGTCATTAACTGTGTGTTCTTTTTATGGCAAGGTACCTGTGTTTAGTTTTGAACTTGATGCCAGAGGTGTGACCTCTTTTGGAACACTGCTTTGTGCAGAAATTGTGTCTTACATGACTAGTGTTGTACCTGGTCCATAAGTTTGTTTTGTCTTGAATTTATATTCTTGTGATAAATGCATAAGATGAGTGAATGATTGAATAAGTGAGTGAATGAATGAATAAATGAAGCCTTTTAGAAAAGACATAAAAGGTTGAAAGGGTTGTGATGTCCCAAAGAAAATCTTATTGCTTCAGTTTCGCTCCCGTAGTTCATGGGAATTAAGATTTTAGCAATGCCTTGTTCATCTTCACTTATATAGTCTCCTTTCTCTCTCCTTCTGCCCCTTGTTGTGTTGGGTTTTTCTACTTGTCTTCTTTTCCTGATTCATTCTTTTCTGTTTGTCCCTCTGGAATACTGCCTACCAAAGAATTTCACTAGTGGTTTAAGTACTTCGATCTGCATTGTACATTTGCTGCAGGCAAATGAACAGGTTTGTGGGGTACGTAAAAGCATTCTGCTTATCTAGCAGGCAGGAATTTGGAGCAACACTCCTTCATTTTGTATGCTGAACTATTGTTTGCTGGTGAAATCAGTTCCACATATGCCTCTATTAGGCAATCCCACTGCAAAGGGTGTGAGCAAATTACATGCATTTGTAGCCAAGCTTTTCTCTCCATCACTTACAGACTAGTAATTCAAGTTAAGCAAGTTCTTCTCCATACTAGCACATGCTGTCTGTTTTTCTGAATCCAGATGTAATAGAAAGCAGTGAAATAGTGATACTTTTAAAAGAGGTTTTTAAAGTAATTTTTCATTGCTTGATAGATTTTTGAAAGTGTTTATTTACACTGCTTTGTTAGTGCAGACAACTGTTCTAGTACAATAAATGAAAAATAAAACCGATTCTGTATTTTTGAATTAACATATTTGATGACAGAGGGGAAGGGGAAAAATTCCAAGGGGAAGGGGAAAAATTCCAATGGGAAGGGAGGGAGAGACAGAGAACTGACCTGGGTCTCATAAGGAGTGTTTACACCTTGACTTGGAATATAGAAAAAGAAGTACAGATAGCTATTTTATTTGAATCATGGACTTGCCAATTAGCCATCAAGTGCTTCCATCTGTGAAATAGTTGATCAGATGGGTTAGCTGGGATGTTTCCAGATTAGGGCATTGTAAATGGCACTTGAAAACTGTCACTTTGATTAGGAGGTTTCAAATACTGCACTGCTTGGTGCTGTGGAACCTTTTTCTCCTCATAGGAACTTGGCTTTTTTAGAACATGTTCTTCCTATTTAGTAAATCTGTGGCACCATGGGAACTTGGGAGACCTGCTGCTGATCTAAGGTTCTGCTTCATGTGTTAATCTACTCAGGGTGGTTATTGGAGGACAGCACAGTGCACTCTTTTGTGGGGCTTCCAAAGAGGAGCTGATGGTCTGGCAGACAGAGGAGGGTCAAGCTCTGTGTAGATCATTCCTAATTAACAATTAGATGCAAATTTCCTTGAGTTACTTCATTAAGCTGGTGTGTCATTTGAAATACATGACTTTTTCTTGCATCTTACATATTTTCTATATAAACAAAAACATCCACCAACAATAAAAAACCTCAAACCCAAAACAAACCCAGACATCCCCATCCCTTCTCTCCAAAAAAAAACCCCAAAACAATAAAACAACCCAAGAATATGCCAACAACTCAAACAGGAAAAACTGCAACACCTTAACATCTTACTAAAAATTATTTTGGTTCATTGATTCTTGAAACAGCTTCTGTTTTAAAGTGTGTAAATGTGTTGTCTTTAAGTACCTTTTTCATTGTAAAGCTGTAGAGTGTTCTGGTAGCTCAGTATCTGTTTAGCTGTATGACTTTCTCCTTTCTGTGTCTCCTGGTTATGTATGCTTTATGTGGTTTGAATTGTGGTAGTGCACTGTTGTCTGCTTCTCATACGTATTTTGAAACTTCAAATGCACCTTTTGAGAATATTTTGCCAGAGAAGTAAATCTGAATTGTAGCTCTTTAAATTGTGCATAGTTCCTGTGCCATTGCTTCTGAGACAATTTCCAGCAAAGTTCTGAAGTACAAAGAATGTTACTATAATGTAATTCCCAGCAGATGAGATGGTGTACAATTTGGGTGGGTTATTCCAGTTTTACTTTTTTTCCCTGG